CTTCAGTTTTTTAATTAACCCTTTGGGCTTTTCATATATATGTATATAGTAGAGTAATAACATTTTGAAGAATAATTCGAATATAAAATAATTATTATTTTTATAAATGAGCCAATATTCTAATACTTAAAACGTATTGGTTCGATAAAGTGTGTGCTATCTGTAGTTGAAAACACGTAAACTTAATTAAACTGAATATTTCGGAATCGTTTAATATTATATTGTATATTTTACTAAAACTACATTAAATTAAAATGGACAGGAGCTTCAGGGCCGAAAACATACGACATATTGTTATCTATTAATTTGAAAATGCATTTTTTGATAATATATATTTCCATAAGAAACCCTTGTAGATCCATCAAGTTATAGACAAGTTCTTCCTATAAGAAATACAATATATGATTTATACCGAACTTCTGAAGCATTTACTGAAGCAGAACAAGGCTTTTAAGCTGATCTGGAATATTTATAAATTATAGACCTCTCTATACTTTTCAGTAAGCGGTCAAAACTATAAATATTTTAAGGTTATGATATAATAATAATATAATAATATCTTATGGCCTGCATTTAAATGGTTTCTGCTTCAATAGCTGTATTCCATATGGGTATTAATTGCATAGCTACGGCAAAACAAGTTAATAAAAGCACTAGCAAATAAAACTTGTATCAAATTAAATACATCACACTTTGTGCATACAGGTACATCGGTAATAAAAACAGGAGCACAATCAGACACTAACAGGAACATCAGCTATAGGAAAGCCCAGAACCAAACTTACTACCAAATCTCCATTCACCATTCCCCATTCCCCATACCCCATACCCCAAACCCATCTCCATTTTCCATCCCCAGCAACAGCAACAGCAACAACTACAAGTAACTGTGGCAATTGCGTAAATGATGTTCTAATACAACATCAATTACAATGGCAAGCGGCCCATGGCCAAAACGGTAATGATGTAGTCAGCCTCCAAGTTGCGTTTCTGCCTCGGTCTCTGGTCTCCGGTCCCCACTTCTCTCTGGCTTGTGCTGCCACTGCCACTGCCACTGCAACTGCCGCTGCTGCTCCTCAATAAGCTTACGGCATTCACGCCTTGTTGTTGCCTGCCTCTTCCCCAAGTTTTCTCCGGCTTCGGCCCCCCCCTCGATCCACAGTAGTGCTGTTGTGTAGCTGTTATCGTTGTCGCTTGCCGAACCGGCTGGAGAACATGTCCCTGCTCTGGGTATACCCCGTAACAGTTGCCGAAGTGCAGCTCCACAGTGCTACACCCTGTATCAGGCGGGGAATATGTGTTTATCCTATAACATGTACTCGTATGATCCTTTTCTAAAGAGACATTTGTCAAACCTTTTGAGGGTGAAGTAATGTATAATATTGTAGATCAATCAATGATATTCCCGCATGAATGCACTGTAATCTACCGCCTAGGGTATTCCCAAGTCGTAGCCACTAACCCATTCCGAATTCCTGGATAGATTCAACTAAAAATTTCATGCATGTTGCTGCCGTTGTTGTCGTTGCAACAGCCACCAGCAACCAGCAACAACGACAACCGTTTTACGCATGCGTGTGCCTCACCTACTGGGCCTGTTGCACCTGCTTGCCAGGCTCATACCGTCTCTACAGCTGACTGTGGCAGTGCTTCAATTTATGTTTTAATTGTGGAAATTATGTGACATATGTTGCTGCCGATGTGGCGTTTTGCTGCTGGCTGCTTCTGTGTGCTTAGGCGGTGTGCATCTGAGAGCATCGAGAGAAGACCGACCGACTGCTATAGCCGACGTCTGTCATAACTGGTAAAGTTGTAATTAAACTGGTGCTGCAAGCAGCCCCCCAATGCCCACAGTGGCACTTGCCATCGCACCGCCCATCGTCTGGGATCGGGAGACAGAGTTTTTGTGGGTTTTGCTCGGGCTGTAAACATTTTACGGTTGTTTATTGCCATCAATTGATGTATGGGTGGATGGCATGGATCGATGGATGGTAAATACTACGGGACGCTGCAGATCACTGAACAGATGATCGAGGAGTCAGCGGCAATAAGTTTGAATGTGGTCAGAGGATCGGATGGATGGTGGAGGTACAGAGAGTCCACCCGGAACTCGGGAATAGTATTTACATGATCTTTATATTGAGGGTCGAAGACCATCCTAAACTTGTCCAACAAGGACAAGGCCCTTCAACAAGGGCAAGGGCTTTAAGGAAACCTTCTGAAATGTGAGAGCTGCATCATTATACTTCCACTTTGGTTTCTGTTTTTCCCCAAGAACAGCTCTAACTGCAGTTTGATTGATTGATGGCCCCCCCGACGAGTTCGCGATGTTTCGATGCTGTTGACTTTACAAGAAGTTTATGGTCGCCTGCTCTGCTCTCCGCAGTCTTGACCCCCAATGAACTCGCCACAAGCCAAGCGCAAACAACACCCACTACCCGTAAGAGCCACTCGGACTCTGACTCTGCCCCACCGCATCACACGTAAGCCGATGCTTTATGGAGTGTTGTGGAATTGAAGGCTTGTTACCTAACCATAACTGTAATGGCAGCCAGCCCAACTGGCCCAAGAGCCAAACCAATGTTTGGGTCATTTTGGTGTGGACTCCGGAGATCTAATAATAAAAATCAAAATACCGTCACGTAAACCGATAACAAGGCACGGAGACGGACACGGACACGGGATCAGAGTCATAGCCAGAGCAGAAACACAATTAAGACCAACATTTTTATGGTGTTCAAACTATAAAATTCATATAATTAAATTGCAGTTATAACTATAACAGCAACAACGGCAACCGAAACTATCATAAAGACCCGCCGCAATGCCCCTGCCCCAGCCACAGCACCACCTCTCAGTGCAATGCCCGGGGACGCCGTCGAGTGAATAATTTGGTAAATGGGAACATAAAGTGAAAAGCGAAAATCAATGAAATAACCTCAAGAATATCAGCAAATAAGAAATGCCTATCTTTGGGGTCTGAAGCAGTAGATACTCTTGTGGATGGATTATGCTGATAAAGAATAGTGACAGCTCTTCTCAGCATTCCAAGTCTCTGCTCGAAATTGTTATAACCTTTCGTTCAGCGTTTATCGGAAGTTTCGAACAAAAGCAAGAGCAAGATCACGATGAAAGAATATATCGGTATGATTTTCGGTGGAATCGATAAGTAATAGCTAGACAAATGGATATAGGCCTCGGATATGCATGTACATACATATGTACCTTTCTTTGTACGATTACTCTCTTAAACGGAGAGCACCTATGTGTTCTTTCTTTCTTATTCTCATATAAATACTATTTTCTAACCTTTTATAACCTTATCACCCATAGGAGCAACAGATCCAATGGCTTCAGCACCAAAAGCGCGTTTCCTCTATGGTTTCTATGCTCTCGATTTCGAGTAAATTCTTAGCCCCCTCAAAATCCCTCATCCCACTACTGTACCTGAAATTTCTCCACTGCCACGATCGCTGCCCATGTTTTTGCTTCCCAGTGTTGTTGCTACGCCAAGTGCGAAAAACGAAACCTTCGGCGTCTGCTGCTGCACCCGGAAATCAATCAAAGTAAGGGCATTCCACTTCAACATCGATGGAGCGCTGCCAACAAATTGCAACAGCAGCACCGGCAAAGGCGGCGGCAGCGACAGCGACAGCGACAGAGGCATCGATCAGCAGAAAACAAAAGGAAAAGAGAGAAGTGAGAAAGCAGCGACAAACGGCCGAAATTGTCCGCTATTTTTGTCTTCACTCACGCTCTCCCACTCTCTGTTGTTGTGCAGCAGGTGCCAAAAGCTCTGATCACCTCTGCTCTCACCTGGTAACTCCACTCTCGGAGCGAGCTTTTCAAAGTCTTGTTTTGTTTTGTTGTTACGGGTCTTGTGCCATGCCGGTTATTGTTGTTGCTTTTGCAGTTTTGTAATTTCATTGATGAAATTTTCACGAGCGCGAGAGAAGTAATGAGATGGAGAGAGCAAAATCATGAGAGCCAAAGCACGAAATCGACTTTATACAGTGGCGTCTAGAAAACTTGCTCTACTGTACACTATTTTTTGCCAGCCGTTCCTGTGACCGTTTTTGGAGAAAATACTGCTATTTAATTGAAATTTAAATCTAGTACTGCATCATCGTATGGTTTCAGCACGAATCTCTGCCAGAACGCCGAGGGGTGCTGCTGCTGTGTTTCCCAACCAGTACAGCACATGCAGTATTTTGACTCCATTTGAAAATAATTGCGTTACATTTTGAGTACCCTCCACCATAAAAAAACCTTCGTGAACGTTCTGTTTTCAGTTTCAGAGTGCTCTAAAATTCATAATGTCAATTAAGCAACCCTCGGTGAAGATTTCAATCATTCTTCTTCCTTGTTTATTCAATTTTTAATTATGAAACGCGGTTCCACTTCCCTCTAAAAATTACCATACACATGTATAATGTCAACAACAACTGCATTGCATAGATGTCAAGGTTTCTCTCTGTTGACATGTTCCTGTTTCACCTATGCACTCCACCTCCACTCTCGACTCACTCTCGCGGAAACAGCTGTGCGAGCGCAAAGCTCCCGCGGCGGGCCTCTCTCTCTGCCTCTCTCTCTGAGCACTGACAGCAGGTGCATCAACTGAGTCGAAACGAAGCAAGCGTAACAAGTGCCAAAGGTGGGGAGAGAAGCTTTCCGTCTGACGCACCGCTACCTGGCCGCTTCGACAACAGTTGCGGGCAAGCTTGGAGCTCAGTTTGAAAAAAACTTTCGTGCGAGACAGACGTGAAGCGATCCGATCCGATCCAGTCGAGAGTAACCGAACTTTCCCATTGCAACTGCAACCAACTGCAACTTTGGCGCGACTTTTGCGGCCCGCAGACAACAATCGAATTTGAAGTGAAAAATGTACTAACAAAAATAATAATAAGAAAAATACAAAAGAAGAAAGAGCAGAAGGCACCATAAAAAAAAGAAGAAAATTTAGATGGAAAAAAGTGCATGGAAAATTAAAAGAAAAAGTGGCGTGTGAAGCAAAAGTGCAAAAGAACGGCAGCAGCAGGCGGCATTGTGCATTTTTTTAATACATACTCGTACATATTTACCGCTTCGAAAGAAAGGGAGCGATACACAGATACAGAGATACAGGGAGGCAAAAGAGAAGTAGTTCAGGCCAAGCCACTCGTAGGGCCAAGCCAAGTGTAACGATAGATACCCAATACTCCGGCGTAAACAAAAACAAAAACAATAAGCAAAACCGAAAACCGAAAACCCCCATATAGTACTTGACAGAGTGGACAGAGAGCAGAGCCATGTCGTCGTCAACATCATCCACGTCCACGTCTAGCGCGAGTGCGAAACTGGAGCACCATTCGAAGCCCATACTGAGTCCAACACGATCCCTGGACGAAGGTTTCGAAAGTGATCCGGATCGGGTTTCCACCGATTCGGAGCATCAGACAAGTGGAACCGCCACTGCCGCCAGCAGCAACCATAACAATGCCAGCAAGTTGGCGCAACTCAGTTCGGCGGCCACTGGCGGCGCCTCCTCCACTGGCTCGGAGAAGCCAACAGCCACAGCACCAGGCGGAAACTCGGCCAGGGGTGTCCTCTCTTTGGCCGCACCCCAGCTGCAGCGGCGCGAATACTTTAAGGATCAGCAGAGCAGCCAGCAGGTGGGCATGGCCAAGGCACGACAGATCGGTGGCCAGCAGCAACAGCAGCAGCAGCAGACCCTGCCCCCCCAGCCACGGCTGCAGTACCAGAAACAGCGACAGCCCCTCGTACCCAGTGCCGCCTCCAGTGTCCACAACCATCGCATGACCCATGGCGGACCCGGCTCCGTTTCGGGCCAGGCCGGAGCTGCCGGAGCTGCCGGAGCTGTCTCAGTCACTAGCGGATTTCGTCGCGGACGTCGCCTCCATTTGGCAGCCCATAATCCAGCCCGAACCGGACTGCGCTCCCATTCGGTGGACGCCATTGCCAGACACCGCCATGGCTACGATCCCAGCAGCCTGATCCTCAAGCACGATGGCAACGGGAACGTGAGCAGCTGCTCCAGCCCCAACGGACCGGGACCGACCAGGATGCTAAACTACAAGACCCCGGCCGGAGGCAGTTCCCCGGGAACAGCGGCCGGACAGGCCCTTCTCGTCCAGCCCATCTCCAGTGCCACCTTGTCGCCCATGGTGGCCGCTGGCGTGGACGTGGTGGACGGAGGCGGCTCCTCCCCGGTGATTGCCTCGGCCACCCACAGCCTGTACACGTTCTATCCGGCGGAGGGGAATCTCCAGGTGTGGCAGACGGAGTGCGGCGACCTAACCTACAAGTCATCCAGGAATATGCATCAGCTGCACAAGGCCCCAGTGTGCTGGACCCAGTCCATACCACGACAGGCCAGAAGGTGAGTGCTAGCACGATAATGCACAGAAGGTTCTGGAAAGAACTTCTTAGCGGGTTCGGCTCTAAGAACAGGTATTTCTGTATATTCTGGAAAGAATTGTTTCCATTTAGGGAGGGTTCCTTCGTCTCGAAAGTTCTTTGTTGAAAGAACAAATTAAGGACAGCTAAAAGAAATAATTTGAATGGTAATAATTTGCCAATTTCTATTTCTTGAAATACTTTCCGGTTGGAGCTCTGAGCTCTCAATAAATCGCTCAAAATGTAAGCTAATTAGTTAATGGTTCAACTTTATTTTTGGCCACAAATGAAGTCAATAGCCATTTCATCTTTTGCGGCATTCCACTCCACTCTCCGTCAGAGTGAAAGTCTTTTCAATGGCCATCGCATCGCGAACAAGCGCGGGCTCTCCGCGCCGAGAAAAACTTGGGCATCGGAGAGTGAGAGCAGGACAGACCTGGGAGACAGAGCCGAGGCGGCGCATGTGTCATTTGGCTTGGCCGCGGGGCAGGTTGCAGTGTTGCAAGCAGTTCCTCTCCCTCCCCCCCTAAACCCCACTGATGGAGATGGAGCTGGAGCTGGTGATGACGGTGCTGTGGCAATTAAAATGCCTTCGAAAACTGCTTTACATTGATTACCCTCCGGTCGATCGTTGTGGCGGCTCTGTCCCCCTGTCCCCTTGTCCCCTTGTCCCTTTGGCAGAGTGTCGAGAGGGCGCCCGGGTCCCGTCTTTTACATAACATTGCCCGGGGTCTGGGTCTACGTCTCTGCCCGATGTGTGTGTGTGTGTGACCCCAAATTAAACGCAAATTGCCCACCAAATTTCAGGCACATAAAGTTTGCCAATTTTGCGCATAACGTTTTCCTACAGACATTTTAAGCGTTTTGCCCAAATTTGTTTAGGGTTGGGTTTTAGTTTATTTTCTTAAGAGGGACTTGCGTTACAATTTCTGGCTGCGAAATGTGCCCGAAATATTTAATGGGCTCTGACTGCAATTGCTTAAGGTTTTTACCCCTCTTTTGCATGGAGAAACATCAGGGATAGATGATTTAGTTTTCCCAAACGATGGGGGAAAATAAATTGGGCCATTGAATGAGGGAATAAATGAGGTAATCTCTGCTTTAATATATATATTCATTTAAAGTACAAAAGTCTGTTATTAACCAGCATTTTAATTATGGATAATTAACATACAAACAAATTATTTATAAATAGATAATAATTGGAGCTGAAAATCATAGATAGGGCCAATTAATCAGTAAGCAGAATACATATGTATTTGGATAGATGGTTATTTATATTTAAAACTATATTCACGAATATTTGGCATCTAGTAACATTCTTTCTATCTATTATCTATTTTTTAATACGAACATCAAAAAGATAAATTAAAGGTTTATTGTTTGGAATTTATTTCAATTCATTTATATTACATCTGTCCACATATCCCTCCCTAAATATTTCTGTGGGTTTGAGTCTGTAGTTTCCTGATATTTAGAATGTGATTTAAATGTACTTAAAGAAGCTATATGTATATATATATCTTTAAAACGAATCCTTCAGGTTTCCCCAAAAAACATTATGCAAAATGGTAGGAAATATTTGAGATTTTACTTTCAAATTTCGTCGAATGTTTAATCGGCTTTTGATGTAGAAATGCACTACAGAGTTTCAGTTGCAGTTTCATTTAATGTTTCCATTGCATAAGCACACGCAAATATGTTTATTAAAAGCCTTTTACTTTGACCAAAAACCGCCCACCTCAATGCAGTGCCGCCACTCTGTGGCTCTGCAATCACCACCAAAGACCGCCCCCCTATTGCCGAAAAAAATTGCAAACATTTCAATCAAGGAGTAGAAAACATGCAAAGTGATTGGGAAATGAGTGAAAGAGTGGCAGCCGATTGCAATGGAAATTGTGATACTACAAAAAAATTCGATACGAGTGCCGATATGGCATGCCAATCAAAAGACTTAGGCAACGAACCTGATTGGGGTCAATGCACTTGGAGATGGCTTTTTAGGGATTGGGCGGGAGATTCCATCCTTATCTACTGATTAAATGAAGATTATTTCAAGCTATGATTATTGTTGGTGTGTTGTAATGATTGTTGATTCGTGTTGGAACTTTCCTACTGCTCGAAAGTGTTAATTTAGTTGCTTACATGGTGGTTTATTAGTTCCTGATTTGGTGTGATTTTCTACACAATGACAGGAATCCCTCACACAGAGCACCCTCACACTTTTCAGTATTAGCCCTATTCTATTAAGACCAGTGTTTTTTCTAGGAAAGCTGTTGGGATTGCTGTAATATTTGTTTTTACGAAAATAGTATTTTAATTATATTTGGTTGGTGATTTTCCAAGGGATATGGCTGGTGTTAATTTTGTTGTTTTGCTGCTGTCCGATATTCATGTTATTTTTGCTACTGCCTTTTTCTGTATTTTAACTCTCTCTCTCTCTGTCCCTGTGATGAGATGTGTTGTGTGATCGGAATCGCATTTGAAACACACACACAACACAAGTCACATCTTTGTTGCAAATCAAATTGCATGATGCGCAAATATTTTCGCTTCGACAGCAACATGAGCCCCAGCTCCAGGCTCCGGACAACACAGACAACACGGACACCGCTCCGCCGACGAACAATAAAAGTAAAAGTTTTTTATTTCGCTTTGGCAAATTTATTTACATAGTTTTCGGTACTTTTTTCTCATCTTTCGGGTGGGTTTTACAATGTGTCATATCTGTGCACACTTTTGCTTTTCATGAGACATTACTTGGACGGGACGCTGGAGATGTGGATGCTGTCTGGATGAGGTGTAGGTGTCCACGAAGCGAGCATTTGAAAGTGTTTTTTTATGAAGTATAAATGAATGAATGATGGTTATTTTTTGTTGCAACTTTTCGCCAATGATTTTGTGGCTTTTTGTCGTGCGAAAGTTATTTGAAGCGAACATGGAGAAGCGTTTTTTGATGCTTCCGCTTTATGCATATTATGGGAATTTGTTGAGATTTTTTGCAAATTAGTTTTCCATGTGTGGAGGAGTACACAAACTAGAGGGAAATATTTGTAGTAATAGAACGTAATGACTCTTTATCTCTTAATTGACCCCTTCCGACCTTCAAATAAACGTCTATCTCTGAGATATTCTTACAAAAATGCTCCTTCACTCTGTAATGTAAGCCCATCAATATCTCATGGTCAAGGCCCCGTAGCCAAGGCTTTCTTAACCATTTTGTGGGCCAGCTATGTAGGGCCTCTCAATGACGCAATTAAGAAGCAGTGCCCATTGATTTGTCACTTAATCGATGGAGTGTTGTGCCATTTGCCTCTTAATTTAGCAAACAAAAGCCGCTAATTGCCTTCCCTCCACTCCACTCCACTCCAGTCCAGGCGGGAGAGATCTAACCATCTAACGGCTGAGCTGAGACTAGTATTTGCAGTGCCACAGCGCAAAGGTGAGGGCTAGAGTTTCCTTCTGATTGCTGTTTGCCAATCACTTTGCCTCGAAGACTGAAGGCTCAGCATTCGCATTCACTCTGATTGCTCATCATCCAAAATCATCGACAAATATGGTGCCTAATTAAAAGAATCCGCCGAATACTATCGCGTGTAGAACGATCTTCCGTATTTGCCTTTAGTGGCGGCTTCTTCTTTTTTGGTGTTTTCGGTGATTTTTTTGGCAAAGTAAATATCTATATAAAAATCCATTATGGCTGCCCGATGAGCTCTAAAATTTGTATGTCAATATTTGTGGCTCCTCGAGAGTCGAGAGATCTGTAAGCCTAAAAATAGATCAAGTGGCAAACAAATGAGCCAGCAGACAGGCTTGTTGTCGGACTTTAAGCGAAATGTTGTCACCAGAAACACAATAAACAAATGACTTGAGCAACGAACTTGTCATTTATGCCTCCACAAGCCATGTAGGATCCCTCAAAATGATTCATTTGCTTTCCAAAATCTCCAAAACGTATTCCTCAAGCATTTTCAATGTCAAATCTTTTGTATGATTGCTTCGTTTTTTTGTCTGCTCGCTGGCACCCACACTTCTGGGGCTGAAACACTTTCAATTTTCAAAGATTTTGACGTCTGTTTTAGCACCATTTTTGGACGAGTCATCAAGACAAAAGAACCATTAAATGGAGATCACAATTCTGTGCGAAACATTAACTGGAGTGCTCTGTGCCCCCTGCCGGCTGCTCTCTTTCCCAGCACTCAATCCCCCTCTCTCTAGCCAACAATTGAGTCATCAGAGGCAGCAGAAACAGGGTCGAAAGATATGTCTAATGAGTAGTGTATATACCCATTAATTATGGGTTAAAAATTGCACCCTTAACGGCTTAGCCACACTGGGAGAGGGAGTCTTTTTTCCTACTCTTTGGTCTCTGTTTTAGATATCAGGTTGGGTTGATCTATGGTGGATTCTTTTCATCTATAGGTATTCCTGTTAATCCTAGAAGTCGTGCACCTTTTAGGACCTTCCAATACACCCTTCCACCCCCATGGAGTACTGGGTATTCGAAAACTGAAATTAAAGCAACCGGAAATGCAGCGGACGAAAACAAAAAACTTCCCAAGACTCGGTAGCCGTATAGGGTTTCCCTTCCCCCCGATGGGCCGACAGCCCGACTTTTGTTACATTTTTCCATTCAGCTTTTGACCATTTAGCATTTGCCACTTTTGTAATTATGCGAAAAACTGAAAACAATACGACACACACCAGACACAGAGCCCCTCCCCTCCCCCGCCGCCATATTCTACCCCTGAGGTGAGTCAGCGTCGGTTGGCGGTGCTTGGTGGCTCTGCTGTCGACACCTGCGACCGGGTCGGGTCACGGGCCAACAATGTGAACTCCTCGCCTGTGAAGAGGCCAAAAGCGAAGAGGGAAGAGAGTCGGGTTCAGCAGCGGCAGTCGGTGCACAGTTGGCACCACAAAAAATTGTAAAATGTAATAAAAATTTCAGCGTAGTGTGCTTTATGGTTTGAGTGTTTGAGTGCG